ACAGCATTATCTATTGTGCAGTTATATATATAATATATATATTGCTATTTATTCTGTTAGCAATACAATTTAGGCCTACATGTAAATAGTATCTTCTGATTACAATTATTGTATCATATATTTTAATTAAATACAATCTGTTAGCTTCCAAAGTGTAAGTAGATATATCTAGCTGTCCGATAACACGTTCCGATTGAATGGCTTGTCCTGTACTTTGTAAAAACCCAGAGTGCATGTTGGAAAAAGATATTGGTTCCTTTTTAAACATAGCAATGTGAATGCAAAGAGGACTCGGTCCACAAAATAGGTGATGTAAACTGGCAAAATAGTTCAGTCCTCATTCAAAGGCAAGGGCAGTGTGAATACAAAGATAACTGAGTTATTTTGCTTTATTTATTTTTTTACCCCTGTTCACTTTAAAGAGGACTGAGATTGGTTCTTTTAAAGAGGCCTATATGTGAAAACATCCTTAGATAGCAAGTTAAACTTAGGGGTCGTGTTATCGCATTGTTCTGCGTACTAAACGCAGGATATTTTTTTTGCTGCATAAGAAATATCTTGCTGCTGTAAACGCAGATCTAAAATGCTTCTTATTGTAATTTCTGCTCGGCATCAGACTAATTTTGTGCTTCAGTTGCACTTCTCCACTCAGATGAGAATTCACCAACAGCATTCTATCAGCAGAGAGTGCTCTGAATGATGTGTAGCTAATTTTCTCCAGTAAAACGCAAGATTCATTTTATATTAGGAACTGTAGCTCGCTACATTCTTTCTATGATAGGCCTAAACAGTAGAAATATGATGGCCATGCATCGTTTTTGCAAAAAAGCTCATTTACTGGTGTGGCTGCCAGCCAAATAGCGTTGCACTTCTGTTGTCATCTAATGAAAATTAAGCTATATTCTGCCGAATGTGTTGCACTAATGTATTTTCTGTGAAGGAAACTGTAGTTGAATGTCCCTGATCACTTTATTGAAGCAAAAAAACACGGACTTTCAATATAAAATGAAACTGTCAATACACAGCTGGTCTCACCTGCTCCCGCTTTCTCCCATTGTGCTATTTACAAACAAACACGTGACTGGCTCAACTTTTCTGGGGAACTGCATAAGCTTCATAATGGAAAATAATGTGACCGGTGAAATGGAGAACGCGATCTGCTTTATCTCCTAACGCATTGCACAAGTTGACTGCAGGTATTTACTTAAAAAATAGCTACAAATATTAAACTGTGTCAACGGTATTGCAAAACCATCCCGTGGCTATTTCCAAATATCCCAGTACGGTATATACGGTATACTGCCCAAGCCTACTTCAGATGAAGTTGATAGGATCGTCTCGAACGTAGCTCATCCACTTTATTCTCCAGTGATTGCATGTTCGCCAATAGAATGGAGGGTAGAGGCGATTTATCCACTCTCCGACTTAGTCTCGTCAGGTATCCCGCACGCCGGCATCTACAGTGCCTTGCAAAAGTATTCATCCCCCTTGGCGTTTTTTCCTATTTTGTTGCATTACAACCTGTAATTGAAATGGATTTTTATTTGGATTTCATGTAATGGACATACACAAAATAGTCCAAATTGGTGAAGTGAAATGAAAAACATAACGTGTTTAAAAAAAAAAAAATCAATAAAAAATTTTTTTGTGGAAAAGTGGTGCGTACATATGTATTCACCCCCTTTGCTATGAAGCCCCTAAATAAGATCTGGTGCAACCAATTACCTTCAGAAGTCACATAATTAGTTAAATAAAGTCCACCTGTGTGCAATCCAAGTGTCACATGATCTCAGTATGTAAACACCTGTTCTGAAAGGCCCCAGAGTCTGCATCACCACTAAGCAAGGGGCACCACCAAGCAAGCGGCACCATGAAGACCAAGAAGCTCTCCAAACAGGTCAGGGACAAAGTTGTGGAGAAGTACGGCTCAGGGTTGGGTTATAAAAAAATATCCTAAACTTTGAACATCCCACGGAGCACCATTAAATCCATTATTAAAAAATGGAAAGAATATGGCACTGCAACAAACCTGCCAAGAGAGGGCCTCCCACCAAAACTCACGGACCAGGCAAGGAGGGCATTAATCAGAGAGGCAACAAAGAGACCAAAGATAACCCTGAAGGAGCTGCAAAGCTCCACAGCGGAGATCGGAGTATCTGTCCATAGGACCACTTTAAGCCGTACACTCCACAGTGCTAGGCTTTACGGAAGAGTGGCCAGAAAAAAGCCATTGCTTGAAGAAAAAAATAAGCAAACACGTTTGGTGTTCGCCAAAAGGCATGTGGGAGACTCCCCAAACATATGGAAGAAGGTACTCTGGTCAGATGAGACTAAAATTGAGCTTTTTGACCATCAATGAAAATGCCATGTCTGGCGCAAACCCAACACCTCTCATCACCCCGAGAACACCATCCCCACAGTGAAGCATGGTGGTGGCAGCATCATGCTGTGGGGATGTTTTTCATCGGCAGGGACTGGGGAACTGGTCAGAATTGAAGGAATGATGGATGGGGCTAACTACAGGGAAATTCTTGAGGGGAACCGGTTTCATTTTACATTTACATTTTTAGTCATTTAGCAGACTCTCTTATCCAGAGCGACTTACAGTTAGTGAGTGCATACATTATTTTTTATTTTTCATACTAGCCCCCCGTGGGAATCGAACCCACAACCCTGTCGTTGCAAACGCCATGCTCTACCAACTGAGCTACATCCCTGCCGGCCATTCCCTCCCCTACCCTGGACGACGCTGAGCCAATTGTGCGCCGCCCCATGGGTCTCCCGGTCGCAGCCGGCTACGACAGAGTTTTGAGTCTTCCAGAGATTTGAGACTGGGACAGAGGTTCACCTTCCAGCAGGACAATGACCCTAAGCATACTGCTAAAGCAACACTCAAGTGGTTAAGGGGAAATGTCTTGGAATGGCCTAGTCAAAGCCCAGACCTCAATCCAATAGAGAATCTGTGGTATGACTTAAAGATTTCTGTACACCAGCGGAACCCATCCAACTTGAAGGAGCTGGAGCAGTGTTGCCTTGAAGAATGGGCAAAAATCCCAGTGGCTAGATGTGCCAAGCTTATAGAGACATACCCCAAGAGACTTGCAGCTGTAAATGCTGCAAAAGGTGGCTCTAAAAAGTATTGACTTTGGGGGGGGGGGTGAATAGTTATGCACGTTTTTCTGTTTTTTTGTCTTGTTTGTTTCACACACAAAATTATTTTACATCTTCAAAGTGGTAGGCATGTTGTGTAAATCAAATGATACAAACCTCCAAAAAATCAATTTTAATTCCAGGTTGTAAGGCAACAAAATAGAAAAATGCCAAGGGAGGTGAATACTTTGGCAAGCCACTGTATTGCGCCGTCTCTTCCTTTGAGTGTCTGGGATTTGTGCCTGGTCCGCGATAATCAATGTCTTTCGCCTTCGACTCAAAACAAAATACACAAAATAGCACAATTTGTCAGGAGCCTGTAAAACGGCCACCATTCCCTCCGGCGCCATATTGCTCACCATCACGATACTTTGGTGCCGATATGTATTACTATTTTCACGTTTGTCACAATTCTATATGTATTGTGATTCGATTTTCCAAACGTATTACTCACTGTATATCTACTATAGAGGGATGAGAGAGCCATGAAAACCAAGTTTTGATCAGTCATGGAAATAAATATGAAAAGAAAAATGTATGCACTCACTAACTGTAAGTCGCTCTGGATAAGAACGTCTGCTAAATGACTAAAAACAAATTGTCTCCCTATTTAAAAAGAAGATGGGGAACAAGCTATGAAGGAAAAATACTGGTGTTTTGGTGCAGGTACAGCCAACTAGCACAAAACTAATATTGCGATGTTGTCAAAGCGATACGATGTGTTGTCAAATATTATCCCAAAATGTAACTGTATATAGATAAATAAAAAATTCAGTGCGTCAAGGAGTCTGTCTCCATCTCTTCTTCTGTGGAGGTCTGCAGCAGACCTCTCTTCTTTTATCTCTCAGCCAGTCTGGCTTTGCGTCACTCACTTCATCTGTCTGTCTCTCTGTCTGTCTCTCTGTCTGTCTCTCTGTCTGTCTCTCTGTCTGTCTCTCTGTCTGTCTCTCTGTCTGTCTCTGTCTCTCTGTATGTCTCTGTCTGTGTGTCTCTGTTTGTCTCTGTCTGTCTGTCTGTCTGTCTCTCTCTCTCTCTCTGTCTGTCTGTTTGACTCTGTCTGTATGTCTGTCTGCCTGTCTCTCTCTCTCTGTCTCCCCATCTCCATCCTCTCTCGCTCTTTCTCTGTGTCTCTGTTTCTGTGTCTCTCTCTGTCTGTCTGTCTCTATCGCTCTCTGTCTGTTTTTCTCTGTCCCTGTCGCTCTGTCCGTCTCGCACAGTCCGTCTCGCTCTCTGTCTCTCTGCCTCTTTCTCTCTCTCGCTGTCTGTCTCTCTCTCTGTCTGTTTCTCTCTCTCTGTCCATCTCTGTCCGTCTGTCTCTGTCTCGCTCTGTCTGTCTATCGCTCTCTGTCCGTCTGTCTCTGTCCGTCTCGCTCTGTCCGTCTCGCTCTGTCTGTCTGTCTCTCTGCCTCTGTGTCTCTGCCTCTCTCTCTCTCTCTCTGCCTCTGTGTCTGTCTCTCTCTCTCCCATCTCCATCGTCTCTCGCTCTGTCTTGTCTCTGTCTCTCTCTCTCTCTCTCTCTCTCTCTGTCTCTCTCCCCATCTCCATCCTCTCTCTCTCCCCATCTCCGTCTCTCTGTCCTCGCTCTGTCCATCTCGCTCTGTCCGTTTCTCTGTCTGTCTGTGTCTCTCTCTCTCCCCATCTCCATCCTCTCTCTCCCCATCTCAGTCTCTCGCTCTCTGTCTCTGTCTCTCTCTATCTCCATCCTCTCTCTTTCCCCATCTCCATCCTCTCTCTCTCCCCATCTCCTTCTCTCTAACCACTGTCTCTCCTCCCCTCCAGAAGGATCCCAGCAGTGATGTGAGCAGTCCTAGCAGTCCTCGAATGTCCCCTCCCTCGAAGCGGACCCGTAGACAGAACCCCCCAAGCTCCAGCAACATCACTCCCTCGTCCCAGGCCAAGAGCCAGAGGGTCTCCTGGGTCATGCCCACCCACCGCACCAGGTGAGGGGGCAAGGGAACAGCACGGGTTGTGGCCGTTTTGGTTTCAATTCCTGTACTGGCCGTGTGGACTGTGGATTCAACCCCATCTGTTGTTGACTGTGTCTGAGAATGGAGCATTTTTTTTTTTTTTTTGCAATGTGTTTATATTGACACATCTCAATGTGTTGTTTCAGGTTGTCATCTGGCGCCCTGCAAAATGGACATGGTAACATCATTTTCATTACCAAAGCTTTCATTTTCATTTGGTTGTTCCAAGACCATGACCACATTGTTTGCATGTAGGTACAGTATTAGTTAGATGGGACTGCTTTGTTTTGATCTGTAACCTCTGACCCATGCAGCCCATAAGGAGGAGGGGGCAGGAGACCACTCTCACATGAACGGCCATGTTGACCTGAAGAGGAGCTGCCGAGTGAGGAAGAGCCAGTTTGAACACCTCAACCAGAGCCTGCTCTTTGACCAGCTCGTCAACAGGTAACACACACACGTTTGTTTTATGATCCTTGTGGGTACCAAACAATTGATTCCTATTCAAAATCCTATTTTCCCTAACCCAAACCTCTTAACGCTAATTCTAACCATAACCCTAATTGTAAACCTAAACCTAACCCCTAAGCCTAAAATAGTATTTTTCTTTGTGGGGACAGGCAAAATGAATTTTCCTTGTTTTATTATGGTAATTCATATTAACAGAACATGCAACGCTGTGCAGTCCTTCTTACCGAATTCTGATGTGTACTTTGAACATGTTAGAATAACTGTCCACATGTACTTTTCCTCAGCTAACATGACGAGTAACGAACAGCAAAATCACTAGCCTATGTCAATCTACGATATTAGAAAAGTTTAGGCTACCTATTCTATTGGTCAGCTTGTCGAGAAAGAAATATTCCAAACAGACTCTGGGACAGTTGGGGGACGATATATCCCAAATCCATCCAACCAGCAGGCCTCGGCTACATTAAGGAAAAACTGTTCAAAAGCAATGAGTTTGATGGAACAGATCAGAACATTTATCTTAAAATGTTGATAAAATATTATTTCTTCACATTATAAGCTCAGCAATACGCACAAGGCAGTAGACTAGGTGTGAGTGTTCATTCTATAATGTAATTAGAGGAAAAACACTGTTGTCAAAAGGGCCCTGCACATGTGAGCAGTTTCATGTGACAGAGATGAAAATATCCATTAGAAACGGTATTCCAACTCGGGCCTCTTTCTAGAGCTCTGACTTTCCGGCCTGAAGATCACTGACGTCATGGTTTGACCTCGTACTTTTCAGAGTTCCTATTTGTCTTGAAAGCACCACAAGATGCTGCAGCTCTGGCACTGTCTGACAGATTCTCCACTCAAAGGCTCTGTATCTGTATGCTGTACGCGTGTGATAAATAAGATTCATAACAAATATACTGTACACACGCTCCAATTTCATTCCACTAAATTATGCAGATTAACCTATAGACCGTTAAGCATGACCAGTCAAATGTATTTCCATCGACTGGTATTTCCACCAATCCATAGGCTACAAAACATCATTTCGTAATGGGATTTTTTTTTCTTCTTCTTTCCAGACAATCGGCCAGAGCCAATTTTGTTTATCGTCTTTTCGATTTTTTTATCAAACATAAGCTGGCTATTACCGGCTAACGGAAACACACACACACACCTCAACCAGAGGTCAACCAGAGGTCAACATTTCTACCAGACAGGCTTCATAGTCGAACTGAGCATTTTGAAAGATGTAATATTTGACAAAATAATGAATGTGTATGACGTGGTGGTGGATCTGTAAAACAACGTGAAAACTGCTACGAGGTGGGCAGTATGAATCTCATTGTTTAATGGTTGGCAGACTGGTGAAAAGTGATGGGTAGATATGAAGGTGTGTAACGTGATGAACGGCTCAGCCTTACTGGTAGAACTTCGGTAAACTCATTCATATGCATCTGTGTTGGATACTTACGATGACGATGTGTGTATTGTCAGCACGGCGGAGGCAGTGCTTCAGGAGATGGACAACATCAGCAGCATCAGACAGAACAGGGAGGTGGAGAGACTCCGCATGTGGACTGACACTGAGGTGGTGAGTCTGCCAATCAATCTGTATTATTCCATAAATAAAATGCACCATGGCAACATGAAAGTGGGTTGTTGGTGGACGTTATGAAGGCAGGCCAGCTAGCTAAACCTGCGTTTCCTCCACTCCTGGTCTTCTAGGAAAACATGGACATGTATTCTCGTGTGAAGAGGAGGAAGTCACTGCGCAGGAACACCTTTGGCATGCAGGCTCACCACAAAGCCATGAGCAAGACGGAGGAAGAGGAGGAGGAGGAGGAGGAAGAGGGTACTGAAGGTTTGACTTAGTTTGGATTACTTGTAAATCTGTGCAGAGACTGTGAGAACTGTAGTTTTGTCATAGCGACAGGTCGGTGGCGCAGTGGTCTAAGGCACTGCATCGCTGTGCTAGAGGCGTTGCTGCAAACCCGGGTTCGGTCCCAGGCTGTGTCGTGACCGGGAGACCCATGAGGTGGCGCACAATTGGCCCAGCGTCGTCCGGGTTAGGGGAGGGTTTAGCCTCTGTGATGTCCCAGTCCTATCGCGCACTAGACTCCTTGTGGTGGGCCGGGCGCATGCACGCTGACTTCGTTCGCCAGTTGTACGGTGTTTCCTCTGATACATTGGTCCGGCTGGCTTCCGTGTTAAGTGAGCAGTGTGTCAAGAAGCAATGCTTGGCAGGGTCGTGTTTCGGAGGACGCGTGGCTCTCGACCTTCGCCTCTCCCGAGTCTGTACGGGAGTTGCAGTGATGTAACTACCAATTGGATATCACGAAGTTGGTGAGTAAAAAGTACCCCCCCCACCCCCCAAAAAAAGTATATTTTTCTTGTTTACTTTGTCTCAGAGTCTCATGGGGAAGAGGAGGATGATGAAGCGGAGGATGAGGATGATGATGATGATGAGGATGGAGACGAGGCAGAGGAGGTAGGAGAGGAGAATGACAGACCGTACAACCTGAGGCAGCGCAAGACTGTACAGAGATACGAGGCGCCACCTATTGGTAAAGAAAAAAACAGATTATTTTGTGATTTTTGCCATCACTAAGGGCCAGTTTCCCGGCCCCAGATTCACCATTAAGCTTTTAGTCAAGGAGTAGTAGGCTGTATCTGGGTCTGGGAAACTGGCCCTCTAAATTGCCTGAAGCTTTCCTTTTCTTGCATGAAACCATTTCCTGGTAGTCTTTGCTTTATACCTCTAGAGGACTGCTGCTTTTTAACATCTTCTGTCTCTATGATTGCATTCTAGAGCCCGTCAACAGAAAACAAACCAATCCCTCACTGTTTGACACCCACAGATCCCCAGCTAGGAGAAGCCATATACGGTTGGTCTTGTACCCAGCGTGAACAATTATTTATAAGAAAAACACTGCTTACCTATACATTAACATGGTGTAATATGGAGCGATCTGTCTTTTTTCTCCCCCCCTCCCGTGGTCCAGAGTGAAGAAGCATGCTATCCACAGTAGCGACACCACGTCGTCGTCTGACGAGGACAGATTCGAGAGGAGGAAAAGCAAGAGCATGAACCGGGCCAGGAACAGGTGAATACCTCTCCTCCTTTTTCTCTGTCACTCACCTAGTGGATTTTGATATACCATACAATGCATACATGTATTTTCACTAGTTCACAGCACTTTCCATTCACCACCCATAATGTATGTACATATGGTGGTGATACATAGGGTTGTGGCGGTCTTAAAATTTTGTCAGCCGGTTATCGTCATGCAAAAGACTGCCCGTCTCACAGTAATTGACCGTTAATTAAAATAAACTCTCCAGGCCAATTTAATATACACCATCACTATAAATGCATAAATTATTTTAGTCAGGTCTAAAGAAACATTATGATATGAAGAAAATGTATTTCAGAAGAACAGAATATGAGTTGGCTTACTGTATGTTATCTGGCTATGCTCCATGCCATAGGCTATAGGCTTGTTAATTTAGCTGATAAGATATGCTTAAGTCCCGTGCCATATTTTTTTGGTAAGAAGAATATAATTGAACTTAGCTGTAAAAAATATAATGTTATTTTTCCTGTTACGGTGCGAGTATGACATGGCTATATTGAGCGTAAAAGCGATCACTTGAAACGGGTCCTATATGCTAGATTTAGAGTTATTTGGCAACTTTAGTTGTGAATGATACACACCTTAGAATGTCTTAGAAATCAAAACATATATGAGCTGCATGGTGCGACTCGGATATCGATGATTTGGGAAAGAAGCAGAAAAAAGCTTGCACTCTGTTCCTTGCCTCAGGCTGCACAGCTGTTCTCTCATCAAGTGATTTTCACCCATCAGACTATTCTCAATGTAATCTTGTCTTTACTAATATGTCAAATGAGTTTCGATTTAGAATGGGCCATTATCAAATGGGCAGGGGAAAAAATACATGTTGTCTGTATGCACTCGAATAGGCAATGGAGGCCGCGAGCTTTCCCGCCGGTCCGTTTTTATAGGCTACTTACTTCTGTTTTATAGCGGAGCATGTGCTTCATATGAGCAGCTGAGAAATAAATACATAAACACTTATTTCAATCCACGCGTCAACCATTGTTTGAGGAGCATGCTCTCGCTGCCTGATATGTTATATTTCACCCAAACTCTGTATGCCATGGGCTCTCCAACCTTGTTCCTGCAGCCACCCAGTGCTTAATTTGGGAAACCAAGTGAAATCTGTTTGGGAACATCAATAGTAACATGTTTTCGCAACGAAACACATTTCACTAAATTTGTTGAAAGCCCGTCTGCGTGCTCGAGAAAGGAATAAAGGAGAGAGGGGAGATGGAAGCGCATGGTGGTGAGATATTCTGTATAGCTAAAGGTAATGTCACTCAATTATGGGGGAGAAAAAAATTAAATAAATATTACTAGGTTATTCAAAATCAAATACAAATGCACTAATTGTAGGCTACCTGTAAGCCGCCCTACACAATCAATGAACCAACAGCATCGCCTATGGCTATACATTCTCTCCCAGACTCATGGATATACATTTTGGAGCGTAGCATAAGGTAACCAGTCCATCCAGTATGCATAATAATACAATCCACACTCCAAGGCTAGACTAATGATGTACCAAAGACCTCTTAAATCAGTTTTGTTGTATGTTTTTCTGCCATGCATAATATGCAGTAGGCTATGTATTGGGACTCCTGTAGTTCCGTTGGTAGAGCATGGCGCTTGCAACGCCAGGGTTGTGGGTTCGATTCCCACGGGGGGCCAGTATGAAAAATTTATGCACTCACTAACTGTAAGTCGCTCTGGATAAGAGCGTCTGCTAAATGACTAAAATGTATTGTATAATGGCACAATCATCATTTTAATTCAGTTTTGTATTTTTTTCGGGCTTGGACTCATAAGCATATGGGTGTTTTAGAATGAATCTTCACCTTAGAAAGCGGTGTCCATTTTGTTGACACTGTTTCAACCTGCTGTTGAACTTATTTTTTCAAATTGATCATCACAGTGAGGTGAGTTTTGAAAGTATGATTGCTGTTTTGATGATAAGTGTTTGACGTGATTTTCAAATATATTAGCACTTTTCTTTAAAGTGACGACATAATGTGATTATGCATGTAATGCTTTATTTTAAAGCTGCATTTTTATGGTGAAAATGATCTTCCCCAAACTTGAAACTCACCCGCAGCCTATGCATGGCAGTTAGGCTCTACACCGGTTATAAAGCGGATTAATGTGCTTCATTTTAAGAAGTTATTTGGCACTTCAGTTGTAATACAAACCTTATCAAAACATTTAAGTCTATGGGCTAGACTATATGAGGTGTGCTACTATGATTTGAAGAAGTCGCAAAAAAAGGCAAGCTGTTTCTTGCCTTACTGCACAAGCTGGACATCATTCACAAGTGATAATATATAATCCACAAGTGATAGTATTGTCACCCATCAAACTATTCTTAATTTAGTGTTGTCTTTACAGAGTGCATTCGGAAAGTATTCAGACCCCTTGAATTATTCCACAATTTGTTACGTTACAGCCTTATTCTAAAATGGATTAAATAAATAAAACATCCTCATCAATCTACACACAATTACCCTATAATGACAAAGCGAAAACAAGTTTTTAGATTTATTTTAGGATTGTGTCGAGGCACAGATCTGGGGAAGGGTAGCAAAAAATTTATGCAGCAAGAACACAGTGGCCTCCATCATTCTTAAATGGAAGAAGTTTGGAACCACCAAGACTCTTCCGCCAGGCCAAACTGAGCAATCAGTGGAGATGGGAGAACCTTCCAGAAGGACAACCATCTCTGCAGCACTCCACCAATCAGGCCTTTATGGTAGAGTGGCCAGACGGAAGCCACTCCTCAGTAAAAGGCACATGACAGCCCATTTTGAGTTTGCCAAAAGGCACCTAAAGGACTCTGACCATGAGAAACAAGATTCTCTGGTCTGATGAAACCAAGATTGAACTCTTTGTCCTGAATGCCAAGCATCACATCTGGAGGAAACCTGGCACCATCCCTACAGTGAAGCATGGTGGTGGCAGCATCATGCTGTGGGGATGTTTTGCAGCGGCAGGAACTGGGAGACTAGTCAGGATCGAGGGAATGATGAACGGAGCAAAGTACATAGAGATCCTTGATGAAAACCTGCTCCATAGCCCTCAGGACCTTAGACTGGGGTGAAGGTTCACCTTCCAACAGGTCAACAACCCTAAGCACACAGCCAAGACAACGCAGGAGTGTCCTTCGGGACAAGTCTCTGAATGTCCTTGAGTGGCCCAGCCAGAGCCCGGACTTGAACCCAATCGAACATCTCTGGAGAGACCTGAAAATAGCTGTGCAGCGACCCTACCCATCCAACCTGACAGAGCTTGAAAGAATCTGTAGAGAAGAATTTGAGAAACTCCCCAAATAAAGGTGTGACAAGCTTGTAGTGTCATACCCAATAAGAAAAAAAGACGTATCATCTATGCACTTAAATAACGAAGGGAGGACGCTTTTCCCGTGGTTCATTTTCAGCCACGTAGGCTTATACTCCTGTTGTAAAGTGACGCAATGTGCTTAATATTAGGAAAGTTGATTAGCCTATAGAAAGCTTATAGGATCCTCCTTTTCTCACGCAATTGCATAGCCTATAGAAATGTTGCGCAACATGAAGCTCATGGACGCTCATGAAGTCTTTTGATTAGATTTTCGATTACATTTGCATTAATGTCAGTGATTAGAGGGACAATAGAGTGCTGAGTACCAGGCAGTTTGCAAGTTTGGTAGGCTACTAATGACCATCAGCAGCATCAGAGCTTGGAGGACCCTAATTACCGTGACTAAACCGTCACATGAAATTTGACTGCAATCATGACTTGTGACTGTTGGTGTGGTGGAAATACGATCACCACAACAGCCCTAGTGATACACTGCAGCCGTTATGCACCAGAAAGCTCACAGCAATAATAATATGCCATTTAGCAGACACTTTTATCCAAAGCGACTTAGTCATGCGTGCATGCATTTTACATATGGGCGGTCCCGGGAATTGAACACACTACCCTGGCGTAACAAGCACCATGCTCGACTCACTGAGCTACAAAGGACCACAGCACATCGACTGTCTGTCACCGGTCTATCAGTGTTGAGCTGCAGATATATCTGGAAGCACAGTGCTAACACTTGCTATTTGTAAAGGTGTCTGCCTATGAACTTGAGAGCAGAGGACCTGGCCAGTGGGGTGCTGAGGGACAGGGCCAAGGTGGGAGCTAGCCTCGCTGACGTGGACCCCATGAATCTGGACACCTCAGTGAAGTTTGACAGCGTAGGAGGGCTGTCCAACCACATCCAGTCCCTGAAGGAGATGGTGGTCTTCCCACTCCTCTACCCAGAGGTCTTCGAGAGGTTCAAGATACAGCCACCAAGGTAAAGAGCAAAGCCACCTGGAAACTCGCATGTATTCATGTTCAGACATATCAAGCATGTATCCTTCTTTGTTTGCAATTTATAACTGTTATTTAATTTCAAGACAGATGAGGAAAAACTGAATGGTTACAATGTGTAGTTCCTCGGTCAATAAAAGTGAGACTTGTTATTTACCTGTCTCTCTGTCTCTCTCTGCCCCCCTCCTCTCCTACAGAGGGTGTCTGTTCTACGGCCCACCAGGTACAGGGAAGACCCTAGTAGCGCGGGCTTTGGCCAACGAGTGTAGTCAAGGTGACAAGAAAGTGTCTTTCTTCATGAGGAAGGGCGCTGACTGCCTCAGCAAGTGGGTCGGCGAATCAGAACGACAGCTACGCCTGCTCTTCGACCAGGTGAGCATGAGCCAAGGCTTATCAGTTGGACAGCGTCATGGACTTTATTTAGTGAATTCCCTGTGTGTGTTTGTAGTGTGCTTACTTGGACCAGTTGCCATCCGGAACACTGTCTTTTTAGGCTAGCTGATGCACCTGTAGTCCAAAGTAGAGGTGTTCAGTTGGACCTGTTCCGAAATGGACCTGGGGCTTTCCCACCCGGACCCGAAATGCATAAATTAATTCAAAAAAATATAGAGACCCGTGAGCGAGTGACACAGGCAGGAGGGAGAGATGGCAACCAACCAAGCCGACTCGAACTATAGTAGACTAATGCTGCCACAGCTAGGTTATTTATAATCAAATATGAGTAAGTAGTACCTGTCTTGACTGCATCAAACCTGGAGAAGCTAGTTAAGCTAGCTAACGTTAGCTAGCTAGGCTAACTGAGGCTGCAGTGCATGCGCTTTCTCATCTTACAGTTACAAATAACAACAACCCCATTCAGAATATAAAGTAGCAGACTACCTGTTGGCTCTTTGGTCGTTTGAAATCCTTCTCCTTTAACATTTAATTTCGTAATTTTAATTCCATCCATTGATTAGATACACTACATGACCAAAAGTATGTGGACACCTGCTCGTCGAACATCTCATTCCAAAATCATGGGCATTAATATGGAGTTGGTCCCCCCTTTGCTGCTATAACAGCCTCCACTGTTCTGGAAAGGCTTTCCATTAGATGTTGGAACATTGCTGCGGGGACTTGCTTCCATTCAGCCACGAGCGTTCGTGAGGTCGGGCACTGATGTTGGGCGATTAGACCTGGCTCGCAGTCGACGTTCCAGTTAATCGCCAAGGTGTTCAATGGGGTTGAGGTCAGGGCTCTGTGCAGGCCAGTCAAGTTCTTCCACACCGATCTCGACAAACCATTTCTGTATGGACCTCGCTTTGTGCACGGGGGCATTGTCATGCTGAAACAGGAAAGGACCTTCCCCAAACTGTTGGCACAATGTTGGAAGCACAGAATGTCATTATATGCAGTAGCGTTAAGAATCTCCTTCACTGGAACCAAGGGGCCTAGACCGAACCATGAAAAACAGCCCCAGACCATTATTCCTCCACCACCAAAGTTTACAGTTGGCACTATGCATTGGGGGAGGTAGCGTTTTCCTGGCATCCGCCAAACCCAGATTTGTCCGTCAGACTGTCAGATGGTGAAACGGGATTCATCACTCCAGAGAAAACGTTTCCATTGCTCCAGAGTCCAATGGGGGCGAGCTTTACACTACTCCAGCCGACGCTTGGCATTACGCATGGTGATCTTAGGCTTGTGTGCTGCTGCTCGGCCATGAAAACCCGTTTCATGAAGCTCCGGACTAACAGTTATTTTGCTGACGTTGCTTCCAGAGGCAGTTTGGAACTCGGTAGTGAGTGTGGCAACCGAGGACAGACGATTCTGTGAGCTTGTGTGGCCTACCACTTCGCAGCTGAGCCGTTGTTGCTCCTAGATGTTTCCACTTCACAATAACAGCACTTACAGTTGACTGGGGCAGCTCTTGTTGGAAAGGTGGCATCTTATGACGATGCCATGTTGAAAGTCACTGAGCTCTTTAGTAAGGCCATTCTGCTGCCAATGTTTGTCTATGGAGATTGCACGTCTGCGTGCTTGATTTTATACACCTGTCAGCAACGTGTGTAGCTGATTAGAGCCAAACCCACTAATTTCAAGGGGTGTCTTCATACTTTTGTATGTATAGTGTTTCGCCTAACTTTTGCCACACACGGAGCGAGGCTCTATGACTGTAGCCTATTGCCGCTTTGATGATTGGCCAACAACAAGCTGCACGCGCCACGCTCTACTCACGTGAAAAGCAAGAGCAGCAGCATAAATGATACAATTTCTCTCTATCTATCTATCTTATCTTATCTATCTTATCTATCTTATCTTATCTATCTCCACTGCAGCAGTCGTGTTCTGATCTGTATGGGCCCTTCCAGACAAGTCAGTTAGAATTACACATACCCGTGACATTATTTAGAATTCTGGATCTGGACCCACTTGGGTCCCGGATCGGGTCTTGTGTATTCGGGTACAGATGGATCCGTAAAGACCTCTAGTCCAGAGTGTTCTTACCTTGTGAGAGTTGTTAGACTTTGTTAACTCAAAATGATACAACGACTAGATTCCAGTTTAACAATGTTAACTTCACCGTATTTCCACAGTACATAGTTGCCATTGCACTCAGGCCAGGTCCATCCACAGTGAGACACTGCACAGGCGTACTAATAGGAGTGATAGCACCGTACTAACAGAAATATAGGGATACTTAACATTCACTTAATAGACATGATAATTGTGTGACGGTTGTGTGTTCCTCTCTCTACTAGGCATACCTGATGAGGCCCTCCATAATCTTCTTTGATGAGATAGACGGGCTGGCCCCAGTGCGCTCCAGCAGACAGGACCAGATACACAGGTACTATATGAAGCAGGAGTAGCAGTTTGGTTTAGACATCTCCATTTGGTGATGGTTTCTGATACTCAAAGGTAGTGATCAGTTTTTACTATGGTTTGACCATACTCACTCTCTTCCCTCTCTCCCTCACTATCACGCTCTCCTTTCCTCCTCCAGCTCCATAGTGTCCACTCTGCTGGCGTTGATGGACGGCCTGGACAGCCGAGGGGAAATGGTGGTGATCGGTGCTACCAATAGACTGGACTCCATAGACCCTGCTCTACGGAGGCCTGGACGCTTTGACAGGGAGTTCCTCTTCAACCTGCCTGACAAGAAGGTGAGGGAGTGGGGAAGTGACCAACTTCAACACACCTGCCAATAGGAATCATGTATAGGATTATGGCACAATTAATGCATTATGTTGGTACTGTGTTGATACTGTAATCCCAATAATTTAAAGTATGTCTGTGGCTGGCATAGTATGCTTTTGAAGTTTTATCCTTGTTTAGGATAAACAAGGATGACACTCTCTGTGTGTGTGTGTGTGTGTACTCCACACATTAGTCCCAGCTTAGTGTTTTTCTGTGTCTGTCCCAGACCAGCAGTGTGTGTGTGTGAGACTGTGTCTGTCCCAGCCCAGCAGTGTGTGAGACTGTGTCTGTCCCAGCCCAGCAGTGTGTGTGTGAGACTGTGTCTGTCCCAGCCCAGCAGTGTGTGAGACTGTGTCTGTCCCAGCCCAGCGGTGCATAGCAATCAGTCAACCTCCTCAGCAGAGAGACACACACACTAGGGTTGGGCGATATTACGACAATGATTGACGACATCGTGACGGGATAGACAATGGTTTAGCCTACTTGAACTTGACTGGCGCCCTGCAGTAAAGAACGGAGTCTCGCAGGGCAGCACAGCAGGGCAGCACACAAGTGACATTGAGTCATTTATTTGCCTATTACCATTTGCTATAGCCTATTTCAATAAATGTGTGATACAGAACGCAGGAGAGGAATGTAGGTCAGACAGAGTGGAGAATTCCACCAAAGCAGTGTCCAGTCAGAAAATATTGTTTCTCTCCATCTCTGTCGGATGCATGGGCATTAGGCTAGAGCTTAAACCTATTAAAAATATATATATATAACGTACACTCCTTAACTATCTTGTGTTTAGCTTCTTTTTTTATTTTTACCAAGCCTATATTACCTTCTCTCTCCGTTCGATAGGCTATGAATATCACTGAAGGCTACACTCTCTGTTCGATAGGCTATGAATATCACTGAAGGCTACACTCTCCGTTCGATAGGCTATGAATATCACTGAAGGCTACACTCTCCGTTCGATAGGCTATGAATATCACTGAAGGCTACACTCTCCGTTCGATAGGCTATGAATATCACTGAAGGCTACACTTCATCATTTTATGTATGGATTTCTCCTGGTCAAACAATGAATCTCAAAGTTATTTGAAGCCTAAGACTGTAAGGTAGCCAGGAGACTAATAATGAGAGACAATAAATAAAATCTAATGACAAGTTTAATCTTATTAAGAAAGATGTGATCATGCGGGCTGGGAAAATCCCTCCATGCGAGGTTGAAAACCAAATGGCCAATAACCCGTCCTCATTCCTCCTACTGGCCTTATCATACAAGCTTTAAGACAAGTTGAAGTTATGAACAGTAGCTTATTTCCCAAATATTCTAGCCTATGAAGGTGTTGTCCTGAAGTTGTGGCTTACAAGAATGAAAGTCTATACAGCCTAGGCATAGGCTATTCTCAATCACAGCTTTATGATGATAGAACAAACAATATTATTTATTTGTCTGTTATTTTGAGGCAAACAAAGCAATTATTATCCAGTTGTGAAGACTAGACTGCTTCTATCCAGCCCGTGATGTCACTACGGTAAGACGGCCCGTTCCTCACTGCTCCATCACAGCGCGCCACACACACAAACCTGCTCCATGCTGAAGCCCGTCCACCAGAAAGGACTATTAGAAAAATATTTGCCCGCACTTACCCTCTGCCCAGGCTTTCAACAACAGTATCTTTCGTCATGATTCGTCCAGTTTCATTCAATTACGCCCTATAGCCCATCTGTCGTTTTAGTAGAGTTTCAAAAATAGGGTTGGCCAATAGGGGGCGATAACATCACAATGTTTTATGGTTACATAATCACAATAGGGTTGGGCGATGTCAACCTTTTGCGCGCACACACACACACACACACACACACACACAGAGGGAGACAGCCGGCAGAGAGAGATTTTGGTGACCAAAAACCCACTGGTGTGAGCAGGGTCGTTTTATTTATTTATTAAACATTTCTCTCTCCCTTTATTTCTCTCTCCTTCTTTCTGTCTTTCTCTTTCTTCGTCTTTTTCTCTCTGTCCCTAGGCCCGAAGGCAAATCCTTGAGATCCACACTCGGGACTGGAACCCCAGACTGGCTGAGCAGTTTGTGGACGAGCTGGCCGAGAAATGTGTCGGTAAGAGAGACTGACTTATATTTACTTACATTTATTAACGTTTACAACTTTAACTTTATGTTTAGTCTACTTCCTTTTCTGTTCATTCATTTAACCCGTCCACTCCCTTGCTCCAGGTTACTGCGGAGCCGACATCAAAGCACTTTGCACAGAGGCGGCCCTGGTGGCACTGCGCCGGCGATACCCCCAGATCTATGGCAGCAGTGTTAAGCTGCAGCTGGATGTCAGGTAACCATGGAGAGGAGGAGAAGTCCGTATTAATAGACAGGAATCCATCATCTTGTCTGTATGGGGCGAATCCTAACTTCCACTTAAGTTTAATTTCCATGTAGCCTCCCATTGACATCAAAGCATGGTTAATACAACGTTTGACTGAAGTGGAAGTTAGAATTGTCCCCTAACTCTTTATAATCTGCTGACACTGAATTTATATTCTGGATCAAGTATTGATTTATTGATCTATCTGTCTCTATCAGTACCATCGTGCTAGGGCCTGGGGACTTCAGCCGCGCCCTGCGTACCATCGTCCCAGCCTCCCAGAGAGCCCAGGCCCCTCCAGGCCGAGCCCTGGCCCCCAACATACGCCCCCTACTGGCCAACACACTGGCCACAGTGCTGGAGGTCCTGCTCCGAGTCTTCCCCCATGCAGAATCACAGCACAGGGAGAGTAGAGGAGGTACGGGATTGCTCTTTCTGTCCATCTGTCTCTTTTTGCCTCCTCTTTTTCCCCTCTCTCTTCCTCTCCTCTTCTCTTCTCTTCTCTTCTCTTTTTCTCTCTCTCTCACACCCCATATCTGCTGGGAGTTGTACTGTCTCTCATGCTTATTTAATAACTTCCATTTAGCACTCCACAGTCCTCCCTAATAAACCATGATGTCTCTACTAATAAGACCAGAGCTTTCTCAATTTTTTTTCCCCCTTGCTGGAGCAATTTCTGCTCAAGGGGCTGTTAATATAAGTTATTTTAAATTGTAAGGACTTGAACATATTTTTGTAGACATATTATAAAACTTCACATCCGGCTTCTTCACCTGCGGGGTCGTCTGAGACCAGCCACCCGGACAGCTGATGAGGGTTTGCACCACCAAAGGATTTCTGCACAAACGGTCAGAAACCGTCTTAGGGAAGCTCATCTGCGTGCTCGTTGTCCTCACCAGGGTCTTGACCTGACTGCAGTTCGGCGTCTTAACGGACTTCAGTGGGCGAATGCTCACCTTCGATGGCCACTAGCACGCTGGAGAATTGTGCTCTTCATGGATGAATCCCGGTTTCAACTGTACCGGGAAGATGGCAGACGGCGTCTATGGCGTAGTGTGGGCGAGCGGTTTGCTGATGTCAACATTGTGAACAGAGTCCCCCATGGTGGCGGTGGGATTATGGTATGGGCAGGCATAAGCTACGGACAATGAACACAATTGCATTTTATTGTTGACAATTTGAATGCACAGAGATACCGTGACGAGATCCTGAGGCCCTTTATGATAACGCATAGCACCATGTCGCAAGGATCTGTACACAATTCCTTGAAGCTGAAAATGTCCCAGTTCTTCCATGGCCTGCATACTCACCAGACATGTCACCCATTGAGCATGTTTGGGATTCTCTGGATCGACGTGTACGACAACATGTTCCAGTTCCCGACAATATCCAGCAACTAAGCACAGCCATTGAAGAGGAGTGGGACAACATTCCACAGGCCTCAATCAACAGCCTGATCAACTCTATGCGAAGGAGATTTTCACGCTGCTTGAGGGCAAATCAGATACTGACTGGTTTTCTGATCCACGCCCCAACTTTTTTTAAAAGTATTTGTGACCAACAGATGCATATCTGTATTTCCAGTCATGTGAAATCCATAGATTAGGGCCTAATTTATGTATTTCAATTGACTGATTTCCTTTAAATGAACTGTAACTCAGTAAAAATCTTTGAAATTGTAGCATGTTGCGTTTATTTTTGTTCAGTGTCAATCCAACATCTGAGTTTTGATGTCAGTTTTATTTCTAGGCGGCACACACAGTTTGTCTGACAGTATTTCCTCCTGTCCTTCCTTCCTTCCTACTAGACGTTGACAATCATCTGCTAGAGGAGGAGTTCAGTGAAGACGAGACAGACGTAGCAGCTCCCTCCATCTACAACCTACAGCCTGGATCCCCAAAGACACACACACACCCCTCCTCTACTGCACACACACCCTTCCTACACTTCACCACGTGAGTCTGACTGCAGAACACACCTAGCCTCTACCCATAGACACACACACCCAACTGTATCATGGCATTTTATTGCCACCTTGTGGCCACAAGTAGAATGACAGGAGTTAAGTCGAAGTTAAACCATTAGTCATCCTTCAGTCCTGTCATCAATACAGGAGAGGGAAGAGAAATGTTCTCTATTAGATTCACATCAATCTAGGAGGAACCTTATCTGCTATAGATGGCTAATATGTTTAAATATTATGAAATATGATTATGGACATTATAGTCCTCTAACAGTTTTATCAATCAACTGGAGACTGATAGCCTATTTGGTAATGTAAGGACACATTTAAAAGATAGAAGCTGATTATCCCTCTCTTCTCCTCCCTCCAGATCAGCTCTCCATCAGCCCACGTCGTACCGGCCTCGACTGCTGCTGGCGGGTCCCCCCGGCTTGGGACAGGGTTCTCACCTGGCCCCTGCTGTGCTACACCACCTGGACAAGCTGTCTGTCCACTGCCTAGACCTGCCCACACTCTACTCTGTCAGCGCCAAGACACCCGAGGAGTCCTGCGCTCAGGTAACACACACACACACACACTTCTACATATATAAACACACACACACATTCATACAGATCGCAAATATACATATCGCAAATGTATGATGTCTGGCTGTTGTGTGTGTCCGTCAGGTGTTCCGTGAGGCGCGTCGGAGCGTGCCCAGTGTGGTGTTCATGCCTCATATCTGTGATTGGTGGGATTCGGTTAGCGACACTGTAAAGAATACCTTCCTCTCTCTGCTCCAGGACGTCCCCTCTTTCACCCCCCTCCTCATCCTCGCTACCACAGATACCTGCTACACACAGCTACCACAGGAGGTAGGCTAAACACACCAGGGTTTCCATTAGCCGGTAATAGCCGGCTTTTTGCTGATACAATTTTTTATAAATGAAAAGCTGATAAACTGGCACAGGCCAATTGCCTGGTAAAATAAAAAAAATCCCATTGCAAAACTAGCAAAGTAAATTTCCTGAAGAAAATGTCCACCACTGTGTTATTTTTGGCCTTGAATCCATGAAGTTTTACGATAATTACCACTGTTTAAACGTTTTTAAGAATGTGAAGTTAGGATAGCCTGAACATGAGAAAGTTGGTTTGGTGTCTTTAGCTTAAACGGTTCGATTTGCTGTAGGTGAGTTATTTTATTCTAATTTACATAATTCAATTTGATAAAGATTTAAGAATTTTAAGTTAGGATATTTAACAAACTTTAAAGTACTATTTTTAGGAAAGAGTGGTTTGCGTGCAGGAAGCAGGCATGCTAGGATTGACAGTTCTGGTCACCTAGTGATGGGAGATAGTCCCAGTTCAGAAGCAGCATTACTTTACAGACGGAGTGTAGCCTACCCTAACAGACAAATAACATTCCCAACATCGCCCAACATCAGTGCCCGACCTCACTCATGCTCTTGTGGCTGAATGGAAGCAAGTCCCCGCAGCAATGTTCCAACATCTAGTGGAAAGCCTTCCCAGAAGAGTGGAGGCTGTTTTAGCAGGAAAGGGGGGACCAACTGAGATGTTCGACAAGCAGGTGTCCACATACTTTTGGTCATGTAGTATATTGTGTACCTATGGTTCTCATTTAAACCCATGTTTATGCACATTTAAAATCGTTATAGTTCAAAAAGTATACATATCTTCAGAAATCCTTTGACAAGCAATCTAAGTAGGGGCAGTCTGAACATCTCAACGTTGATCTGGAGTTGATCACTTAAACGGTGAAAGTCTGTGGGCATTATTTTGCCATTGAAATGCATTGGGCGCTCATTTAAATATTGTTATAGTTCAAAAAGTATAAATGCTATAAAACATTTTTTTTTCAAGCAATTCCGATTTGGGGCAGTCTGGACATTTGGAAGTTGGTTTCGTGTTAATAGCTTAAATCGTTTAAGCTCTAGAGCGGGCTAGAGAAATTAAAAAATAATGACTATTTGCATGCACACCAATTAATTAAGACTACAAGAGATAATCTAGAGGTGTGCTTTGCCTTTGGGGGGGGGGGGCAATGCGAATAGTCCGGGTAGCCATTTGATTAGCTGTTCAGGAGTCTTATGGCTTGGGGGTAGAAGCTGTTAAGAAGCCTTTTGGACCTAGACTTGGTGCTCTGGTATCACTTGCTGTGCGGTAGCAGAGAGAACAGTCTATGACTAGGGTGGCTGGAGTCTTTGACAATTTTGAGGGCTTTCCTCTGACACCGCCTGGTATAGAGGTCCTGGATGGCAGGAAGCTTGGCCCCAGTGATGTACTGGGCCGTACGCACTACCCTCTGTAGGGCCTTGCAGTTGGAGGCCAAGCAGTTGCCATACCAGGCGGTGATGCAACCAGTCAGGATGCTCTCGATGGTGCAGCTGTATAACTTTTTGAGGATCTGAGGACCCATGACATATCTTTTCAGTTTCCTGAGGGGGAATAGGCTTTGTCGTGCCCTCTTCACGACTGTCTTGGTGTGTTTGGACCATGATAGTTTGATGTGAACACCAAGGAACTTGAAGCTCTCAACCTGTTCCACTACAGCCCCTTCGATGAGAATGGGGGCGTGCGCAGTCCTCTTTTTTTATTTATTTTTACTCCTGTAGTCCACAATCATCTCCTTTTGTCTTGATCACGTTGAGGGAGAGGTTGTTATCCTGGCACCACACGGCCAGGTCTCAAATCAAATCAAATTTTATTTGTCACAGATACATGTTTAGCAGATGATATAGCGGGTGTAGCGAAATGCTTGTGCTTCTAGCTCCGACAGTGCAGTAATATCTAACAATTTCACAACATATACACACAAAACTAGTAAGGAATGGGATTTAAGTATATATATATATATATATATATATATATATATATATATATATATATATATATATATATATATATATATATATATATGGACAAACAATGACAGAGTGGCATGGACTAAGATACAGTAGAATATTATAGAATAGAATGCAGAATATACATATGAGATGAGTAGTGCAAGATAGGTCTCTGAATTCCTCCCTAGAAGGCTGTCTCATCGTTTTCGGTGAACAGGCCTACCACAGTTGTCGTCGGCAAAGCTGATGATGGTGTTGGTGTCGTGCCTGGCCATGCAATCATAGGTGAACAGGGAGATTCAGAGCCTATGAGCAAAACATCTGTCAGACAGTGTGAGAGCTACAGCTTCTGTAACAGTTTATTTGTTGCTGCTGGAATGAAACGTGCTTTTATAAGCCTGATCATTGCGTAGCAATTCTAAATGCAATCACGTGTTTTGAAGGCCACAACTGGTAATTTGAAGCGTGCTTCCCATTTCAAGTGCATATAGGCAACGGTAGGCAGGATTCAGATCGTCATGCACTACTTTGCAATGAGCTGGAGGCAGTAAGCATTTTGAAAACATACAGTGCTATGAAAAAGTATTTGCCCCCTTTCTAATTTTCTCTGCTTTTGCATATTTGTGATACTGAATGTTATCAGATCTTCAACCAAAACCTAATATTAAATAAAAATTACATATTTATTTCATAAACAAAGTTATGCAACACCCAATTCCCCTGTGTGAAAAAGTTATTGCCCCCTTACACTCAATAACTGGTTGTGACACCTTTAGCTGCAATGACTCCAACCAAATGCTTCCTATAGTTGTTGATCAGTCTCTCACGTCGCTGTGGAGGAATTTTGGCCCACTCTTCCATGCAGAACTGCTTTAACTCAGTGACGTGTGGGTTTTCAAGCATGAACTGCTCGTTTCAAGTCCTGCCACAACATCTCAATTGGGATTAGGTCTGGACTTTGACTAGGCCATTCCAAAACTTCCAATTTGTTGCTTTTTAGAAATGTTCATGTTGACTTGATTGTGTATTTTGGATCATTGTCTTGCTGCATGACCCAGCTGCGCTTCAGCTCACAGACGGATGGTCAGACATTCTCCTGTAGAATTCATGATTCCTTCTATTAAGGCAAGTCGTCCAGGTCCTGAGGCAGCAAAGCATCCCCAAACCATCACACCACCACCACCATGCTTGACCTTTGGTATGATGTTCTTACTGTGGAATGCAGAGTTTGGTTTTCGCCAGGCATTACTGGAACCATGTCGTCCAAAATTGCTAAAAAGCAACAACATGATCTGTTGCATCAGCTTCATTGCTTAAAATTGTGTGTGTATATGTGTGTGTGTGTGTGTATATATATATATATATATTTATATTTATTAGGGGTGTAACGATTCGTTTTAACAACGATTCGATTTGTATCACGATTCGTGGTTGTCGATACGATTCAAGGACGATATTGGTTCATTTAGAACGATACGATCCGAAACGATTCAGTGACTTGAAATCGATTCAGTAACCTTTTAGCCAAAAAATTCAACCAGTGTGACTGAAATAAATACCTGGATTCTGGACAGTGCAGGTGAAGTTTCCTAGATTCCTGTTTCT